CGTCGGTCCTCTCTCAATGATCCGCGCATCAATCGCCATTCGGGGCTCTCTACAATCCGAAGCAGCCGGCAAACTTCAAACTCCGAAGTGATCGGGCGACCGCGAGCCGATACAGAACGATCGCGCGCTGATGGAAGCGAGTCGACATTGTCCATCACGGCCCCATCGACCGTCTGGGACGAATTGGATGATCTCAAAGATCGCATCAAAAAGCTGGAACTGACAGGCAAACTGCCCTCATCATCTTCGGCGGCGATGTACACCCCTACGAACGAGAGACCGCGGACTGCAAACACTACCATTACCACCTTATCCTCCTCACCGAAGCAACGCCGCAAAACCAGCATCTCAGCTGCAGATATTGAACATAACCCGGTGCATCCGATCCTGCAATCCGCATTGGCCAAGGCAAAAGCTGTCTTGAGCGGTGAAGTGTACACCTGCCTCGAAGCGACGATAACCGATGCTTTGAACCTTTCCACCGCGTTAGGCGTCAATACCGCTCCGTCAAGCAGTGTCTCTGTTGTGAATGGAGGATACTCCTCGCCTGAACGACATGCCCGCCGCAAAGCGGACAGTGTATGCCGTAGCCTGACCGAGCTCTGCCTAGCCTTGACGGATGAGCAGTTAAAGAGTGCCCGACCGTCCTCGAGCCGAGAGACAGTCGTGCAGCCCCAATTATCGAATGGCGCAGGAGCCGATGCTCGTATGTCCATACCAACGTATCAGAGAAACGGCAACCAAGAGCCTGAAGGAGTTGAGCGGCGCCATAGTACGAATCGCATGTCCAGTCGCCTTGAAGCACGTCGATCATCCGTGGTCAATGCCAGCCCTGGAAACACGAACGATATCAAGCAGAGTCCAACGCAATCTCCCGGCATGTCTAGCCCAGCCAGTCGTCTCAATCGCATGCCAAGTTCCCTCCGCAGCCGCAGGCTGACCATTGGCGAGGAGAACGGAGAGACCGGAAGTTCACATAGTCGTTCGAGCTCCAGAGTCAATACAGAAATACGCACATCGCTTCCTACACAAGCCATACCCCCTCCTCGGCAACGATTCTCCCAAGGTCACACTGTGTCCCGCTCCATTTCCGGTGCGCAGCAGGAACATAACGGCTTCGGATACTCCCCTCGCTCCCCACAATACCAACCATCACACCAATACCAACAACCATCATACCAATATCAACAACCATCCCACCTCCCCCAGCCGCAGGTGCAGTCATCCCAGCCTCGGACACCGACTCTCTCGTCGAGTTTCTCATTCCGCCGAAGCTACATGAACCCTGCTACGTACACTCCTGCGATATCCCGCTCCAACATCCAGGCTGGGTCTCGCCGTTACGGCCTAACGCCCAGCTTCTCTTCCAATAACGTCCAGGGATCTTCAGCCGAAGAGAGTCCGCGATCACTCCAAATGGAACCCTCCCAGACCAGGATTTCGACCCCATCAAGCAAAGTGGCAACCAGCTACACACCAATTCAAACACCACGACTGCGAACGAACAGCTTGGGGGCCCGGAGATTCGGTCTTCGAAATCGTGCTCCGGCTACCCCCAATAATGCAAACCTCGATGACAGCATCGATTAACGTCCAAATCTCTGATATCCTCTGGCTGAACCCCACTATCATGCATGCCAACCGTCAAAATATCCGGTTACGTCACTTACGCAGCGAGTTTCTTTGGACATCTGCTTCGACATCGGCATTCATTCCATCTTTTGAAAGGGCTTTGCCTGTTATGCATGTCTCAGCAGCCACGGCAGTTCGAAGTTTTCCCTCCTATGCACGGTTCACAAAATTTCGCTATGCATTCCCACGAATCTCCTCTGTATTTTCACCCCCATCACGCTGCCAGCACATTACACATTCTATTAAATGTCCACATTTCTCTGTGTGATCTTTGTCTGCGGGAAATATCCCTGACAGCAAAAACACCATCTCACCACCGTGGACTATCATCATGTCTACTGGTGGCTTGTCACTTCATGTACAAACCTACCATTGGCGGCGTCTCTTGTCAATAATACTCTACCGGGTGGCACTGTTCCATGTGTGTATCCCGCGCTAGGGTTTACCGTTCCTTGTTTTTCTTTTTCTTTCCCTGTTTATTCTTTTGTCACGTCTCTCATTTCTTGCGGGCACGGTTTTGTATCAAAGTCTGTTGCCCGCAGGCTGGTCTTTTCTCTTGTTTCTTTTGTTGTCCTGAGTCGCAACGAACATTTACATAACGATTGAATGGAATGAAATGATATTCAAGAGCTTTTTGATTAATTCTATTGCTTTCTAAATATAATACAATGTAGGAGGATATATAAAAGATCGTGTCTTTCTGGATATTTCTTGAGATTCAGATAATGGCAATGTCCTATTGACATTCAACACCAGATATTCATACTTGAGAACAGCCAAGGTGGTACGCAGCGAGGAGACACATGAAAGAAGGGTAATTAGGAGACGAGGAGCGTTTTTTTATTATTTAGAGGTTTCGTTTTCGAGGGTTGGTAAAAGGTGGTAGCATTGCAGTAAGTCAGGGATAGGAAGGGAACGAGAACAGGGTACAGAAGTCGAGGAGATAAGAGTAGAGGAAAGACAAGGATCAATATACCCCGCCAGCGAACTGGCGACGTACAAGGCGGAACGATGAGAAGGACAAGGTGGAGGTAGAGACCGGGATAGTGGCGGAGAGGTCTGTGGTTCAGGAGTCGGGGTAGGTGTAAAGAGAGATTAGGGACATCGCGGTGACAGTTCAGCTGAATGGGGGGAGCGAGGGAGGGAATGGAGGTGTGAGGCTGTTGTGATTGACAAAGTTGAGAGATAGGATCGAGAGACAGCCGGGTCGCGATGCAATTCAACGCACAATGGTCGATAAAGACCACACAAACTTGGTATCTAATACGCATGTATTCCCTCCATCCATTGCAGTGAACTTTTGTCTTTTTGTGAATAAAGCGACGTGTGACGAGGCTAGAACCTCAAAAGATAGCCGAGGAAGAAGATCAACAGAGAAAAGCAATTGGAATGAAATAGAAAATAAAAAAGACATAAAAGAAGCGCTAGCACATGACCGCCGCTGATCGTGACCGACAAGTCTTCGAGGAAGTCGTAAGGTCAGAGAACACAAAGGAGTCCTGCTAGGACCGTCTCGTCCGCACACAAACACCAGAGATGGTCCCGCAGGATTTACTCCTGGGGAAGCTGGCTGCGGCGAGTCTTTTCGGCTTCCAGGTTCTCGTATAGAAGGTATAGGGCCTTTTCATTGGCCTGAGCACTTCCCATGATGGTGAACATGCGCTCGCCGGTCTCGTCATGAGGAGCCTTGGCGATCGAAATCCGAGCGCCAGAGCTTCGGCGAATCTCTGTGATCTTGGTTCCGCCCCGGCCGATGATGCATCCAACCATGTCCGCGGGAATGCTGATGTTCTGGGTCTGGATCTCTTCGCCATCTTCCGTAACTAGGGGGTAGCCGCGGTTTCCAGCATCCGAGTTGGATCGGCGGTTATAGCCACCATCGCTGAAGTCGGCGCCGTTGCCGGTGCGGTTGTACTGGCGGCTGTTGTTGTTGTTGCCCTGGTAGCCATTTCCAGCAGGAGGGTTGTTGTTGAGTGGCTGCGAGGCGCTGAGGGAAGCGCGCACGGCGGGGTTGTAGAGAACAGTGCCGGTGCCACGCTGCCAGTCGTCAAGCAGACATTTGCCGATTTCCCAGATAGCTTTCTCGATGCCCTCGGGGGTACCCTGGACCTCGACAATGCGCTCTGTGGATTGGGGAAGCATTTCCTTTTGCGCAACCATACGAACACCCGACGCGTCCTGGATGTGCTTGATCTTCAGGCCCTGTCGTCCAATGATGGTACCCATTTGGTTGTGGGAGATTAGAAGGCGAACGGCTGGAGAGAGTTAGAACAAGCTCAGATCAGAATGGGAATTTCCAGACTCTCTGTATGGGTTGCTTTAATTCCCCGAACAGCATAACCAGTCCAAATCAAAATATTGAGGGGCAATAAAAAAAAGATATCACTTACGGTGGGTCCCATTGTTAGAGACAATACCACCCATGCCCATCTGCGGGGCACCCTCCAAAAGACCCTTGGCCACGATCGCATAGGCGCGAGCAAGCGAGCGCAATTGACCAGTAATGGTCAGGACACGGTCATGGACACCGGGAACTACCTTGCTCACACCGGCTTTGACACCAGTCTCATCGCGGAGGTCGGCAACGTTCTTGCCAGCCTTGCCGATGATAACACCGGCCTCCTTGGAGGAGACAATAGCACGCAGAGTCAGCTCAGCGATAGCATACTCCTCCTCGGTCTTGAGGGGGGCCTCTAGGTCACCCTGCTCAGCGAGGTTGTCGTTGAAGTTATCGGTCATGGGCTCGTCCACGACAGTAGTTTGGTGAATCTCAGTGGAATCCATTTTTATCGATAATCGATGGAGGTAGGAGGAGCGATTGAGCGATTTGAAAAGGTCAAGTGAATGGCGGGATAGAAGGTTTCTTTAAGACCGTACGGTCGCGGGACGGTAGAGACTTCACACCCAAATAGTGGCAAAGTCAGTTTGGTAATTGAGACAAAGAGAAGTGCGCATGCCATATGTAGCTATGCGCAAATCCTCAGGTGAGGGAATCCGTGAATAGGATCGAACTGCTAGAAAGGGTGAGGACTCACAGAAGAGGGAGATGGAAGTGGAGAAATGGATGGGAGGGGAAAGCGGCAGAATCTCGGATCAAGAGAGGGGGAGAAGAAGGTGAACAGGAAAAGCAGTCGATGGGAGAAAGGGAGAAGAGGAGAAGGAGAAGAGGAGAGGAAGAAGAAAAGGGACGAAGGTGAGGAAGATGGAGATGTGAAAGAGTCGAAGAAGTTGGAGTGGTGGTGTTTTGCTTTAAGCGGAGAGAACCCGAGTATGAAAATCTGCCTTTTTTTTTTTTGGACTTCAGCTTCATCTTTCTATATTCTACTCTTCTTTCTATTCTATATTACCTGGTTCTGTCTACATCTTCTCTACTTATCAGCCTGGAATATCACTTTCTGCACCTGGTGCGCTTCAAATAGCTTATAGCCCTCCACTGCCTGCGAGAGCGGCATGATCTTATCTGTCATGAAGCTAAAAGTTCTTTGTCAGCACCAATATATCAGTCATATAACTATACCATGGACTCACCCAAGCTTATGTTGGTTCCTCTTGAGCACCTCAAGAGCCTGAGGAGCAACAGACCGAACAGGGCATCGCCCCATCTGGACAGTGAGGTTCTTGGAATAGGCATCATTGCCGTCCCAAGGGATCTGCGTTCATTAGCAATAACACTAAAACCAATACAGACCTACTTACCTCTCCATTGTGGACACCCACACTACTAATAGTTCCCCAAGGCCGCAACAGTTCAAAGCCAGTGCGCAATGCAGGGCTCAACCCGACGACTTCAATGACGGCATCGGCACCACGTCCATTTGTCAACTCCTGAACACGCTTGTCTAGACCAGCCCGGTCCAGCTGGAAGTTCCACGGCTCGGCACCAAGCGACTTGGCAAGCTCCAGTCTCGACGGGACCGAGTCAACCGCCAGGATATGCTTGGGCTTGTACTCCAGAGCATTGATGAGCGCACAGAGACCGACAGGCCCACATCCAATTAGGACTACTGTCTGTTCAGCAATTTGCTCCGGGGTTGAGTTCTTGAATGCATTGTTTGCTGCAAACCAGCCCGTGGGGAAAATATCTCCCATGAGCACCAGATATTTCTCGTCAACGCCCTCGGGGGCCTTCATGACGGAACCTTCCGCATTCGGGATGCGGGCCTGTTAATATTAACATATAGAGCAAAAGCTATAACATGCTTAGAAACTCACGTATTCGGCCTGTCCACCGTCCAAGCTGTCACATCCAAAAAGACCGTTCTTATCACAGCGAGAAGACCACCCTTGCTTGCAGTAGAAGCATTCGCCACTATCATGGTGTCAGCGCAACATTCGTACAATTGCACTGCAAAATCAGCATATAATGAGCACGCGACTTACCAGGAAGTAGTGAATGCAGTCACAACCCGGTCACCCTTCTGTAGAGTCTTGACAGCGCTGCCCATTTCCACAATGGTACCGACAAATTCATGTCCCATTATGAAATCTTTTCCTGCAGGCTCCACGCCACGGAACATGTGCAGCTCACTGTAGAATATTACGAAAATTAGCATGGGCCTTTTCGCAAGAAAAGTATAGATCAATCCCACCTTCCACAAAGCGCAGTATATCCAACCTTGACTATAACATCCTCCGGGTCCTGAACCTTGGGAATAGGCCTCTGCTCAACGGCGACCTTATAGGGCCCGTGAAACACGACCGCCTGCATCATACCAGAATCCGAGGGAGCAGGAGTCATTCTGACGATGGTCAAATTTCAATCTTTCACAGAGAATCGAAGTATGAGAGCAGCAACCTACTTTGGAGTTTGGTGGCGGAATTCACAGTCAGCTGTAATAATAGTGGATATTTTTCAAGTCAAATTTCCTCAATATCGAACGATCAGATTGCAGACGGATCCGAATGAGTTAAGAAGAAATCTATGGACTAATTTCTCCAGTTTCGGGCTTCTGTGCGAATCACCTGGTGGGGCTGATACACTACAGTGGTTGATCTCCACTGAAAATGCCAAAATGGGATATAGATGGAGCTGGCTCCTCTTCTCATAGGAGTATGTTGTATGGATTTGTGGATACAACGGAATTTTAGCTACCATTCCAAGCAGACTATATACTCCGAAAGATGGTTGATGCTACGCGGGAGAGAGATAAGCCGTCAAACTGTATTCAAAGGACGTATCAGAAAGGCCGACGTGACATGCAAGTCCTGCTCTGCAAGTGCGCAGCTAGTTCCAATTTCATCGGGCCCAAAGAAACCGAATGAAGAAAAGCAAATATTCCTCGCAACGCCTTTCGGAAACACCAAAGCTGAGAAAGATAAACCAAAACAAGTCGCAAGAATCAGTCTTCAAAGCACAAAAATACAAGAAATGCTCACAGAATGCAATCCCATTCTTATCATAAAACCACCAGCCGGCCTGTCAGGTGCAGGAATCGAAGATCAAGGTCGACACACATGAAGATAAGTGGAAAGTCTCACACCCATCAACAGACGACACAGAATAGCTCCTCCTCGAGAATGAACTTGCCCTCCTTGTATTTCTCGCTGCTCTCGTATGCCTTGTCGTACTTCCAGCCTACCGTTTCCTTGCACTGTCTGCAGGCGATGTCGCGCACGAGGTGTCGACCTGTCGTCATGTTGCGCTCTACAGGTTCGCCTTGTGTGACGTTGACGACTTTATTGAAGAGGTATGCTTTTCCGTGCTGGCCTCGAAAGTTCTAGAGAGTCGAAAGGCATGGGTTAGTAAGAGGTTATTCATAGTAAAGTGTATAGGAAGAATAGGATTCGAGGAATTCTCATACCCGACTCATGATATCATTGAAATCTGCAAGATGAGTCTTGCATCCCTTACATCCAAAGATCTTATTGGCAGTCAAGTAGACGTTGTATGAGAGACCCATGGCTGTAGTTATGCGGTTATTGCCGGACAGGCGTGGGATGCGTTTCTGTAGGGATCGGAGATCGGAGTCGAGGGCCTGAGAGGTGAGTTCGAAGCAGCAGAGAACACTTGAATATAGAGGAAGTCCGTTTATTGAAAAGGGGTGGCGTGATTGCCTGCTTTCTTCGAATGTATGCAGTAGTTGGCCCCGCCCTGACTTCGACTTGGAAGGACCTATGCTGCAGTCCTGCTGTTGACCTCCTTAATGAATCTTTCGAGCGTTTATGTTCTGGCAAATGTAGGGTTTCTCGATATATGATAGAAGTATCCCTGGCCCTTGCAGAGGGGCTATGGAAGGAGGAGGATGTGTCGTCGGACTTCACAGCCTTGGAGCTGACGTGTAGACGATAAGCCGATAAGCGGATCGGGATGAGATTCGGGATTCACGGAGACAAGTAGGGCAGCGGATCAAAGGCTTTTCAGAAAGATCAGCTGGCTCAGGGTGTACAGAAGTTTCAAAGGTCAAGTGAGAGTTGAGCCTGACCTCGGAGGTTAAAGTCACTCTGCCTAAAGGCCCCGCACTGGTTCTGGATCGTCGTTGGTCTGTTCCTTTGTGACTTTTGTACTTCACTTGAGATATTTAGATCCCATTACAGGAAATATACAAGTCCACTAGTTATAGGCAAATTATTTTTGGGGTAATCATCAATTCAGAATCCCTGTACATAAGGCGCCGGTAACATGCGCTCCCCAAGTATGCTCAAACCAAATTACATATCTGAATCAGCTGCATTCTATTTTTTTTTACAGAAAGCCCTTTCACATCTCTCTGCTTCACTCGTAGTCCTTGACGTAACGGCCAGGCAGTTCAACGTCCCACATAGGTCGCTCCACCACTGCGACTTCCAAAATTCCACTCGGGCTCTGGTCGTCGGAATCGTCATCCGACAAGGTGTTGAGAGGTACGATGCCGAGGATATCACGGTACTTATAGGTGTGCCACCACCGACGTGCAGGCTGCTGAGCTGAGGCACCATTAGTCTCTACCAGCTGCTTCTTGGTCTCGCCAGTGTGCTTCTGTGATCCCTTTTGTGGGGTTTCGGTTTCGATCGCAGTCCCATCTCCGCGTCGTAGACTGGCGAGGGTTGTCTCATTGGTGGCTGCAAAGGTCTCGTCGTACTCGTAGGCCTCATCGTCTTCGCCTGGCACGCGGGGGCGTTCCTTGTCCAGCGTGATCCATTCTCCCTGCGATTCATCGCTGCCGACGATCTTGCGGACCTTGGTGCCAAAGTGGACATCCATCTGTGTCTGAGGAATTCGATCACCGGCACCGGTGTTGTGTTTCCTCCGCTCGTCCTCGTCATCGTCGAGGGCTTCGCGCTTGCGCTTCGACGCCTTGACAAGCTGACCTGCGGTCTTGCCCTCTTCGGTCTTAGCAGCCTCCTCGGGGGAGGGGAAGTCTTGGAGCAGATCAAACATCCACAGCCACGATGCTCCGTAGAGCCAGAGGCGCTCGCGGCCCTCAAAGAGATCCCACATGCAGCCCATAGCTCGGTCCTTAACGCCTCGGAACTCTGCGGGGAGGTATGCCTTGGGATTGCGTCTAGACCAGTCGGACAATTTGCCATCCCGAGCATCAAATTCGATAAGCTGGTGCTCACTTGTGAGGACCATCAGCCGATCTTCGCCAGACTGATGCGTGCCATTGGCGAGAAGCTTTTGTGTGGGGGCGGATTTGGGACGGAAGGACAACAAAGTTATGCTGGAATTCATGCGAGGGATTGGTGATTCAGTGGCAGCGGTAGTCCAGCGCTCGCCCTCAATCACAACGTCGTCGTCGTCTTCATCATCAGATGAATCATCGTCCGACTCCGAAGCCCCGCTACGTTTGACGGTACCGTTCGTGGGTGCGGTCGCTGTGCCTAGTACCCAGGTATCGACACAACCAGAGATATCACCACTCGCCAGAACCTTGCTGTCGTCTGAAAACACCACAGATCGTATCGTTCTCTCGTAATCGCCCAATGTTCCGTGGGATGCCTTTTCGTGTCGTACATGACGTGCGGCTCTCTTGAGCTTTGCGAACTGTGGCATCACCTGGGGCTTCTCATTAGATGCGGAGGTTTGCTGGATCCGTGCCATGTAGATGTCGCTGTTGGGGCGAACGATTGAAAGCCATCGGCCGTCGGGGGAAATGGTCACAAGGCGAGCACCTTCATCGGAAAGTACCTTGGGTACATCGATCTTCTGGATGCGCAGAGCACCCTTCTCGTCGCCCTTTCTCCGACGGAGGGAAAACAGTTTAACCTCGGCAATGGTTGCAACAGCGAGCGTCTTGCCATCCGAGGACAGCATCGCCGAGGAGATGTTTTCCTCGCCCTGTATCAGAACCTTACCAACGAGCCTATGCCGTTGACCATCAATGTTCTCATGCAAGGACGTAGGGCCTCGAGACACACGCCACAAGCTCACTTCTCTATCCCAGAAACTCATAATCAAACGAGCTGACGGCGCGGAGGTGAGCTGAGGAATTTGCGGGAGACTCGAAAGCTTGCGGTGGTGTTCCTTTCCGAATTCACGAAGAGGGAGAATGATTGGTGTTGCATCGGGACCTTTAAACGAAACAAGTTAGCATTGCTTGACCCTCTCAAATTCATAGTGGACCAAGGTCAACATACCTCCAGACACAGCGATACTGATGTCCTTTGTTTCATAGACAGCAAATGCCTTGACGTCATGGGTGTGGTAGCGACGGTGCATAATCTCAGCCCAGCGACCTTTCTTGTCGCCCTTCTCGCCCTCCTTCTTGCGGTAGACGACCGTTCGCTGGTCGGCACCGCCACTGACAACAGTGTCTCCATTGGCACTCACTGCGATATCAAGCGTATCGGCAAGATGGCCCTGTATCCGTTGGAAGAGAGAATAGTTCTTTGCATCCCAGAACCGAATTTCACCAGCCGAGTCACCGGACACGATCGTGCCATCCGGCAGACATTTGACCGACCAAACCAACAATTCCTTCGGGCCACCCGTGGGGCCTTTGCCCAGGGAGATTGTCCGCAGCATCTTACCCGTGCGAATGTCAAAGAGACGGATAGAACTATCAGCATAACCCGCGACAATGGTATTGCGGTTCTGGAAGGTAACGCTCAGGACGCGCGCTCTTTTTGTTGAGGGACGCATCAGGCGCAGGAACTTGAGGTCGTTATCGGCAGTAGACAAGATGACAATTGACCCATCCGCACATCCTGCGGCGAGGTGCTGACCCGTGTACTCGCCCTCGGCGGGAGAAACCACCTTCCCGTCTTTGCCCTTAGTCGCCTGCCAGCGAGGCTGCGCAGCAAGACACCAAATCTCTCCGTAGTTTCCACTTGAGTGGCGCAGCGGGCGGCCATTCTCAAGATCCCACTCGGTGACGGCCGTGGAATATCCAATGCTAAACAGACGCAGCTTTCCTGGCAGTTTGGTGCCATCGGGCCCATCCTCCTGGGGATCCAGTGTCCACGCAAGTCCTTCAATGCTTCTATCTTTGCCTCCACGCATCACGGTCTCCTGGAACCAGGCACCGCGCATCGGATTCCATATTTCAATATCACCGTTCGCACGACCGATCGCGAGTCGGAGGGTGGGTACGCCACGCCCAGCTAGATCTGCTGACGGGGGGTGCGAGAATGCAAGTGCATTGATCGCCTGTGGGTTGTAAGAAACGAAACGGCAGCGGTGGATATCCATGATTGAAGATGTGGGCTTCGAAGCCAGAGAGCTCGTTTCGGATGGTCTTGAACGGGGTGCAAATCAGAAATGGAGGTGCTGAAGATCAATTCAAGAATAATTCAGCTCAGGCTGTAAAACCAGCCTCTAGACAGTCATCTCTTAAACACAAATAGGTGGTTATAGCGTGGTGCCAAAGCTTTCCTTGCGACTGTTGCGCTGCCGCTTTTTTTTTCTGTAGATAATTTTTAGCGGCCGGAATATCTTGACTAGTTGGGTAGGTTTTCCCGAGATCACGTGTAGGCGATTGAAATATAGTGCCTTACGAATCGGGCCAATATCTGGAACATGATGAGAAGAAAAAACAATAACGATGATAATCTCTGTAGTGAAAACTTGTTCCATCAATTAGATGTGCTCTAGTAGAATTTTATTTCCAAATTGGAATGCAAGTGTCTCCTGAGGTGAATTAGTACCTAGATACAGGTCAGGACATAGAAATATGTATAACTTTTGTACAAGAGATAGGATTGAGACAAGTGTGGTCGAGTAATTCAGAAAGTATATAGTCAACAGCCACTACATATCCAATGTGCCTTGCTTGTCCAGCAAACAGTCTTGGTAACATTGTATTTGTGCAACACCAAGAACGTTGTGGGATACCTTCGAACTCCTATTGCAACTCCCCGTCATAGAAGGAGGCGAGTGAAATGCAACGACCAACCGATAAGAAGCGGTCAACAACTATACCCACCATGCACATATTGACCAGGGAGCAATTGCCGATAAGCAACTTGACTTCGCGTCGTAGTCTAGCTCAAAAATGTGCAGCGGAAGCATTGGATACCCGAGCAAGTTTCGCCGGTGCAAACTAAAAACCCGAGCTGTAGCCCAGTTCTAAACTTCAGCGGGCCGCATGAAGTGTATTGTGCTATCGAGGCCACTGTATATGGAGATTACCATGCCAGATGTAAGGGAGCTAGCGGGGATCTACCCTGAAAATGCAGGCTCAGCTGAACATGTCGCGAGTAGACGAACTTCGCCACGCGCGCCGCAGTCTGCAACCAATAGTAACATGCAATAGCAAATGGGTGCGACAGGTTCCTATGACCTACTTCGGCAGAGGGCAGGGAGACCATCGACGGGCTGCCACGTCAGAAGCAGCCATCATTTAGCTTGTTATAGTCTGTTGTGGCTGATTAGGAAGTAACCTGTTATGCTTGCGCATGTATCGGGCTCCTGAGACACTTGCAGATAAACTCTCTGATAGGTCGCGACGGTACTTGGCTCTGCAGTGTGCAACCCACATAT